CGGCAATCCTCGGCGCAACGCCGTGCCTCTGGCCTCGTTTGATATGGCTCTGCCCGACCCCTCATTTTGATATGGCTTTCCGGCCCCGGCCCAGCTTCTGACGGCTGAGGGCCGGCTCGAGGGGGCCGAGCGCAACCCGACCGCCCCCCACGAGACAGGAGGAGCGCAGGGCGCGTGGCGCCACAGACCCTTGGACGTGGCTCGGACTGCGACCCCCCTGCAGGCTGGGGTGCGGGTCGACACCATTTGAACATCGCGCGCGCCTGGGTCGCCCAAATCGCCGCGGTTTCACGCCCTGTCTCTCGGTTTGGGGCCCCCATTTGTGCAAACTCCCGACAATCCCTGACACTCCCGAGCGTTGTCGCGCTGTCTTCACACGTCCCCTGATGGCTGCCGCAATCCTGCCGCCTCGCCGGCGCGCGAGGCGGCCCCCGCCCGCCCCTTCGCGGGCGGGCGGCGCCGGCCGCCACGCCCGCCGTAGCGCGACAGACGGCGTTACGCTGCCGCGCGCGGCGGGGATCACAGGCCCTTGAGCCATCCCTGTGCAACTACTGAGGTTGCACCGGTCCTGCCTAAGCGATCCGAAAACGCTGGAAGCCTACATACCCGCGACTGACCATCCCTGCGTCCGCGTGGGGTCACGAACAGGGCTGATGCGCGGCCCTTCTGCAGCTCATCAGCCCTCCGGCTGCGGCTGCCCTCACATCCGAAGCACGCGAGCGAGAGCGAGCGGGGTGCGCGGCACAGCAACAGCCGCTTGCCACCCCGCGCCACGCACAGCTGCGGCGGTCAGGTCGGCGAGCGTCGGGCATTTGAATTTTTTTGAGGCGGCATCCCTGCCACGCGAGCCCCTGAACACGCCGGTGGTCGAAACAAGCAGGGCAGGCACGTGGCTGTTCCCCCAAACATCCCCCCGCGCGCGGATCGCCGCGCTCTCCAGCACGCGGATCAGGCGGCGCGGGGGCGCACCCTCTGCCTGGCAGCCCTGGATCATGGCACTGGCATCCCATGGCAGGATGCAGGCGCAGTACGACGCGAGCGTGGGCACACCTTTTTGCTCCAGGAACCTTCCTGTTGAAAACCATCTGTAAAGCAAGACGCGCCTGCACTCTGTAGATACCCAGCCTCTTCGGCCTGCCAGAGGGGCGCGGCGGTTCCCGTTGCATGCACAGCCAGCCCGATGCCAGCCGTTGGCAGCCCCCTGCGCGGCGTTGGGTGTGGGAGGAGGGGCCAGGTGTGGGAGGAAGGCGCAGGGGGGCAGCGGCCAGCCGGGATGCCAGCGCAGGCGTTGGAACTTGCGTGTGGTTGCCAGCACGCTGAGAGCAGTCTAGGGCTTCGCTCCTCAAGCTCCCTGCCGGGCCTGATGTCGGCACACACTGCTTGAGCGGCGCGTTTGTCCCAAACGCACCGTTGGCAACCCGCAGACACGCATGCAAGCGTAGTCCGCGACCAGAAGGGGCGAACGCGTGCAGCAGGGGCAGCGGGGCTTGTCGCATCGCGCGCCCCGTCGCTGGGCAGGGGCCGAGGGCCAGCAACGCGGCGCGGAGGATGCAGGCCTACTGCGCGTCAGGATGAGTTCAATCTTGATTAATAGCTGCAGCTCATCACGTCGTGCCTGCATCATGGCCGCCCCCTTGATGCCGCAGGTGCCCCAGTTCAGGGAGGTTGTGCTGATTGTCAAGTCGCGTTGCCTGTTGAGAGATGAGATAGGTCTGAGGGTCGGCCGCCTTGTGATACTGCCGACCAGTGCCCGCCGCCGCCGTCCCATCCCAGCGGCACCTTTGCGGGTGACGACAGGTTACACATTGCTGCACACGTGTCGCATTCAACAAACTAATGGCAGATTGCAAAAAAATACAGTCGCACAAACCAGATGCACGGCAGCAGCCAACACAGACCCAAATGACAACAAAAATCCGCTGACAGGCAAAAAGAACTCCGACAATCGCCGGTTGTACAAAGGACAGCGGTCCCAAACGGGGCGGCGCGCGGCGTCCACGGCTACCACCGCCGGCCCCCGCCGCCGCCGCCGCCGCCCCGCCCGCCGCCGCCGCGGTCGTCGGCGCCCGTCTCCCCCCTCTGCCCCCACCAGCTGGAGAGGTCGGTCTTCTTGATTTGCAGACCCTCCGGCGGCTTCTCAAACAGCCGGTCGTCTGGACGGTTGGTTGGTTGGTGGGTTGGCGGTTGATGTCTTGGCTGATCGTTTGGTCGATTAGTAACTTGGCTGGCTGGCTGGTTGGTTGGTCGGTTGGTGCTTCACTTGTTTTGATTGGTAACTTGGCTGATGGATTGGTGATTTGGTGCAATCGATTGGTGAGTTGGTTGGTAGGAGGTATCAAGAGGCTGCAAGGCGCTTCACGAGTCAGCAAGGAGGTGCCACCTGCCACCCCCGCCTCAACGGCCGCCGCCGAGCGCCTGCCCCAGCCCAGCCCCCACCCGGCTGGCGCCGGAAGCCCCGCCCCACCGCCGACCGCGGGCCCAGCACGCCCAACCCCTGCCCACCACGGGCGCCCGCAAAAAACGCCCGCCC